TGCCGGAACTACTGCTGCATAGCCCCAAGTCTGAAGACTTGGCAACTTCACGCCTGCACCTGACTCTTGCGCTATGATACGCGTCGCCTATGACACCCCTCGGAATTTCCCACCTTGCTCCCCCTTATGTTCTGGCTGCCCGTTTTGGATCCATCAGTTGCCTGATGATCGTAGAGATACGTGAAACTCGGAGTTGTGACAAAGCTTCCAAACTCTCTCTCTCTCTTGTGTAATAATAATAATAATAATAATAATAATTTGAAACTCGGGTATTGAGCCAATAATAAAAGTAGAAAGGAAAAGGACATATGGAAACGAGTTAAGAGTAACTCTCCACCACTTTAACTAGATACTATATACAGTCAGAAAGTGCAACAACTAGGCACAAAACTGACAAAAGGACGTCGAATGTCTCAGTACTCTGTCAGTTTTGTGCCTAGTTGTTGCACTTTCTGACTGTATAATTATAGTATCTAGTTAAAGTGGTGGAGAGTTACTCTTAACGCGTATCCATATGCCCTTTTCTCTTTTACAATAATTTTAATATGGCAATAAGTAGGACGAGCTGAAGCGACATGTGGACTACTTTATTAACAATGTAAGCGATGTGCCTCGAGTGGTGACAGCACCTCTGCCTCCCCCTGACCCTCCTCCTTCGAGGTCTGTGTTGGTGGGGAGCACCCGCGGCGGTCGATTTGTCCTACCGGAACCAGAGCCATCTCAGGCACTCATCAGGTGATATGAACATCAAGAAAAATAACCCACTACTTAAAGCCCAGTATGGCGGGACAAGGATAATAGATAGGGGCGCTATCAACTCAATTTTATTTTCATTATTTTATTGGTTTGGTGAGACTCCCATGAAAGGTATCGAAAAGAAAATAATGATCGAGACAACAAAGGAGAAAGACAGACAATTAGTACTATTCTTTTATTCCACGATGGCGTGACGCCAATAAGGATGATTGATAAGTGCGATAGAACTGGTACTAGCCGGAAACAGCTAGATGGAAATTAACCGGGGAGGCAAGAAGCAATGGATCATGAAAAACAAGCGGGGGCAATAACGTTAGCAGGGGTGATCGAGATAGTTTAAAGGTACACGTTCGAGATATCAGAAACCAGGGGGATGCGCGGAGCAGGAACAGGTACTGCTCAAAAGAAGACTGGATGCATTGTTTCGGAAAGAATTTCTACGAGGTTGGGTTGTGATGTCGATAGGGAGTGAGTTGTAGAGGGTGAGGGCACTGTTGATGGGGGAATCTCGGTGCATGTTAGTGTGTGCGTGTCCGATGGAGTAGGTCCTTGTCTGTCGAAGGGTGTATGGTTGGTGTTGACGTTGTGATGCAAGATGTGGTTGTTGCAGGTGTGGTGGGGAGGTTTGGTGGTGGATGTCCCATGCTAGTAGGACGTGTTTGACAAGGAGTCGTGAGCTAAGGGTGGGGAGCTTTGCATGATGAAGGAGGGAACTGTGGTGAACTGGTGCAAAGAGGGGAATCCGAAGGCAGATGCGTATATGACGGCGTTGAATTCTCTCCAGTGTGTCCCGCTGTTGCTGTGTGGTGTTGGAGAGGGCAAGGTTAGTTCACCTAACCTACTATGCAGTTAGTTCACCACTATCTGTCTCTTCGCGTTTCCGCGGCCTTGTGGTGATGCCACGAAGAGGCGAGATGACGGGACATTGGAGGAGACAACACCCAATGGAGCTAAGAATTGCACTTCGTCAATCAAGCAACATCTGTCAGCCCGTACCAATTGTCGTGAGTTGTACAGTGATAATGTGTTCTCAATATTGTCACGTGGTAGATGTGCGTTACATTTGGCTGTGTTAGAAGCTTTGTATATCCGTAAGTTAGATCCTGAACTTTGCGTACAGAAAGAAAGTGTGTTGTCGCTACAATTGTTTGGTGTTACTCCTCGTCGAGGTGGTAACAATGTAACTTAATTTGCTCACTATGTTGTTGTCACTATTATTATTTTCCTTCGAGTTTTGTGTCGTGCTAAACTTGATAATTTTCCACCTTGTCACGAGTGTTGTTATCTAATTATCTTTACGCTATATAAGTTTTGGTCTTTCCAGTTTGAGCCATTCCCTGTATAATCCTTGATGAGAAGGGACCGAAAACGTTCGGATACTTATGACAAGTGCCTTATTATGACTGGATGTGTGTTTGCGTGGATATTATTATTATTATTATTATGGTGGCAGTCAATTTTTTCTTCAGACTTTTCCCGTTTGTCTCTTTCCCTCAAACCAGTCAATATTTTATGACTTGGGGCTCCCCGCGTGCTAGTTTGTACGTGAAGTGTGTGGGTTACAGTGAGGGCTGCGTCCCACCCGCCTGTGTGGATTCACAGGAAGTGTGAGTTACGAAGTCTGAAGAGGGTGTTGAACGGCCTCTGCTGGGATGACGACTACACCATAGCTCAGTGGTTAGAGCATCGCTGGCTACAAGCGAGGGTCCCTGGTTCGAGTCCTGGTGGTGGCAGTCAATTTTTTCTTCAGACTTTTCCCGTTTGTCTCTTTCCCTCAAACCAGTCAATATTATTATTATTATTATTATTATTATTATTCAACGCAATAAATAGAGTAAGCTGCGCACTCAGTACAAACACCATTAGCAAAACTTGTTTTCATGTAAATAATTAAGCTTGTTCCTAAACGTTTTCGTCGCCATCTCATCAGAGGATTACTGGCAAATCAAAACTAGCTCTAAACTCAATATAATTATATACGCACAATGCAAGTAGTAATTTAGACCCTAACTAGCGCGAGAAAATGAGAGCTGAAAAAACATTACATCAATCAACGATATCAGGTGACAACAGATGCGATAAATTCACTACTAGAAAGTAACCATGCACCACAAACGAGAACTACTGATCTAAATTCACAAACAATTTCAACGTAAACAAATTCTTTTTCTGCCTACACAAAATCGGCTTGGTAGTAAAAATGTAGATAGACTCCAATACACGCAGATACCTTTGACTACGTGAACGAGACCAAACAGAAAAGCAATCATCAGTATAACTAGAACGACAATCACTATTCTGAACAAGATGGTTTGCAACAGAAGATTCATACACCCTAACACCACTACTAGAACCAGTACATACTTTGGAATTACGTGACAATGAAGCCGACTTGACATTCCTTGCCGCTACTGCCACTCCAGACGAAGCCGATGTAGATGTCCGTACCAAAGACACGTCCGTTACTGGCACTGCCTGCTGCGATGATGCTCCCTTTGACGTTTCAATGGCCGTTGGTGTTGATGAAGAAGAGGAGGGAGATGAGGAAGATGCTGACGACGACGAGGACGACAACGACGGATACGATAAAGACTCCGCCAACCTCGCCCTAGTCTAGAGCGAGTCACTGGTCCCGCAGACACACCAGTGAGCAGCTTACTCTATTTATTGCGTTGATTACATTTTTATCTCCACGTAAGCTTTTTAATTATTATTATTATTATTATTATTATTATTTTTTCTTATTTTGTTAGGGATTTCCCAACAGGCAATGTTGCCTTTTTACTGGGAACCCTAAATGAGACTTTGTGTGAGCGCGAAACAAAGCAGGCGTGGGTTGCAAGTATCCACGCAAACACACATCCAGTCACAATAAGGCGCTTGTCAAAAGTATCCGAACGTTTTCGGTCCCTTCTCATCAAGGAATATACAGGGAATGGCTCAAGCTGGAAAGACTAAAACTTATAATTATAGCGTAAAGATAATGAGATAACAACACTCGTGACAAGGTGGGAAATTATCAAGTTCAGCACGAAACAAAAACTCGAAGGTAAAATTTTAATAGTGACAACAACATAGCGAGCAAATTAAGTTACATTGCGAACACCTCGACGAGGAGTAACACCAAACAATTGAAGCGACAACACATTTTCCTTCTGTACGCAAAGTTCAGGGTTACTTACGGATATACAAAGCTTCTAACACAGCCAAATGCAACGCACATCTACCACGTGACAATATTGAGAAAGCATTATCACTATACAACTCACGACAATTGGTACGGGCTGACAGATGTTGCTTGATCGACGAAGAGCGATTCTTAGCTCCGTTGCGTGTTGTCTCCTCCAATGTCCCGTCATCTCGCCTCTTCGTGGCATCACCACTATCCGTCTCTTCGCGTTTCCGCGGCCTTCCACGTTTCTTGACACTAGCCGTTGGGTGCGCGATGCCCAGTGTCCTTTCAGCTACGTCTCCTCCATTGCGGATTTCTATTGAGCTCTCTCTCTCTGCCGACCTTACACGTTGGAATCCGTATATTATGCCGGAGCATAATTTTTGGACGAAATCCCAAGATTATGCCAAATATTATGCTGGCATATATGCCGGCATAATCCGCCAAGAGCTTTGACAAGGAGTCGTAACTGGGGTATATAAAAAACAAACATCTTCAGGCTTTCTGACAAAGCTGTATTATGCCCCTAAGCATAATTTTGGTCTAAACCGAAAGATTATGCCGACCTTACACGTTGGAATCCGTATAATGTCGGAGCATAATTTTTTTGATGAAATCCCAAGATTATGCCAAATATTATGCCGGCATAATCTGCCAAGGGCTACCAGGGAGTCGTCAAATAATGATACATGTATAGAGTACAATGTATTTGATGACTCCCTAGCCCTGGTTTATAACATCACCAGAGTCGTTCTAAACAAGGAAGGTGTGAAAACAACTTTCCTGTTTATGTAGCATGCAAGCATCATGATTCGTTTCTTCTGTTTCATTTGTATTGAATTTCTCAATTTTTGAATTTGCAAGTACACACGAGCCACACGCCCAATAACATGGAAGCGAATGCAAGAATGGAGTAAAATGTGAGGAAGGGGAAGGGGGCATGTAAGCGAATGCAATAATGGAGTAAAATGACGAAGGGGAAGGGGGGGGGGGGCTGGGGTCAAGGGAGGAGGAAAAAGGTCTATACTGAATACTGGCATAGTGCTGCAGTCCGGCACTTGGCGCCCTGAAAGCGGTAGGAATCATAGGTGACTGGACGTGCACATAATAATTATACAAAATACACTGATGTATTCGGAAATGGTCCTGGGCGCCAGTGCCAGTTTGCACTTGCGGTCGTATTTCACGGAGCACAGCTAGGTTGACACTCCGCACAGTCACACACTCTCACGGCCATGTAGAAGACCCCACGCTCACCCACACTGCGAGCGCCTAACTATCACGAGAGGTTCTGTGAAGTGCAAGTTATAGCAGATTCAGCCACTAGAAAAATTGATGTTTCTACAAGATGTGCGCGACAGCAACAGACCGTGAGACAGCGCATCAGAGACACAGCAATGTATTACAACAAACTTGAATTTCTCTGATAACTACAGAAAACAATGACATGTCGTCCTCTACGCACCCACACACACACACACACACACACACACACACACACACACACACACACACGCACACACACCCGCACCGACGCACCCACACGCACACACACACCACACACACCCACGCACATCCACACACACACACGCAGGACTGATACCAGTGGAAGGTCTAATAGTCCAAGACCGCACTGACTATTCAAATCTCAAAAACCGACACGTACACTAAAGTTCCACACACGGTGTGCCTAAAGGCGACTGCTAGTGGTTGGCCTTTCTTCATCACCTGCAGCAGCGTTACTACGTCCTTCACCATCGTGAGCCATGCTGCATGTCTCGCCACCGCCATTCTCCGCGTTCATGCTTCGTTCCCGCTCTCCCAGCACCGTCTCGTCCTCGAGCTGTCGGTCCCAGACCTTGAACAGCTGCTCGTTGTAGCCAAATATGGCGTTGATGGCCTCAAAGCACATCGGCGCTCCGACATACCTGGAGTAGCATAGGCACACACACGTGTGAGGGATAGGCATGATTGTCTACATAAACAAGTTAAAATAACGACACTCCATAAGTCTACAGTATTGTCGGTCGCCGAAGAACTGGGAGGGTCAGCCTCCTAGCCTAGACCGTTCCTATTTTCATGCATCACAGTCCATGCACAGTTGAGACACCGTGTGTATATTGGTATGCTGTGTTCGGTGAAATTCCAGCCTGGCCGTTCTTCGGCGCCCGACAGCACTGCACATGAGCAGCCAGTAGCACTGAGCCAGTAGCACAGTCTGTATTCCGTGTGCAGTAGACAGTGAGCCTGACAGTATTGCACACGACCAGCCAGGAGTACACTCTCTGTCAGTGTGGGCAGTGTACACTACACACTGTGTCCGGCACTGCACACGACCAGCCAGGAGTACACTCTCTGTCAGCGTGCAGTGTACAGCACACACTGTGTCCGGCACTGCACATGAACAGCCAGGAGTACACTCTCTGTGTGCAGTGTACAGCACACACTGTGTCCGGCACTGCGCATGAACAGTCAGGAGTACACAGTCTGTGTGCAGTATGTGCAGTGTACAGCACACAATGTGTCTAGCACTGCACATGAACAGTCAGGAGTACACAGTCTGTGTACAGCACACACTGTGTACAGCACACACTGTGTACAGCACACACAGTGTACAGCACACACAGTGTACAGCACACACTGTGCATTACACAGTACACGGCAGTCACTGGTTCTCGGAAACATGTCTGACAGATACATTAGGAGGTCATCAGTGTTCAGCAAAGCATGCAGGAAGGTGATCAGTGTTCAGCAAAGCATGCAGCAAAGCATGCAGCAAAGCATGCAGCAAAGCATGCAGCAAAGCATGCAGCAAAGCATGCAGCAAAGCATGCAGCAAAGCATGCAGCAAAGCATGCAGCAAAGCATGCAGCAAAGCATGCAGCAAAGCATGCAGCAAAGCATGCAGCAAAGCATGCAGGAAAGCATGCAGCAAAGCACCCTACTTGTAACGACTACATGTATAGTACGAAGTAGCGGTGAGGCATCCTGCAGCTTCATAACTCGAAGAGAATTGGTGAGCACACATGCTCATTCCCTGGGCACTGCAAATTCACAACTCATTTCATTTCACAGAATCATTTTCAACGTTTCGGCAAATTGCCATCATCAGGATATAATATGAAGTGGAAGTCTGCCAAGGAGCAGTTATATACACTAATTTGGTGTTCTTAGGTGCTGATAATATTTCTATGACTACATAATTATGTTACCTCAGTGCTATAGAAATATGACATAAAATATACATGTATAGTGTGTTTCAAAAGTATAGACCTGTAGACTTTTTCAAATAATTTAAATTTGGTTAGAATTGTTGAGAAATTTCTTCGGAATACTGCACCGGCAGCTCCTGCAATTTTTCTCCTATAATTTATTGGAAGACAGTAGGACCAATGAACTGCAAGTTACGTTATAATGTCCACTAACACCAGTTACTTGACAACCAGCTCATGGGATAACAATGCACAACACTGACCGACGGTACTGACGTTCTACAACTAACTGCCCATCAGCTCTAGCACGTCTCGGATGACAACTCCAACAGCCTTCCCGCTTGGAAGGTTCTAAGTTATAGAAAAGCCTGGAAGGCTGTTGGAGAGCACATCCAATAGATGTGCTAGAGATGATTGTCAGTTAGTTGTAGAACGTGAGTGCGGCTGTCAGTGTCGTGCTGATTGTCAAGTAAGTGTAAGTGGTGGTGTTAGTGGACATTAGAGCGTAACTTGTAGTTTATCTTTTCCCTTTCTAAATCATTGGCTCTCCATCTGAGTCTAGCACACACCCACACACACACACACACACACGCACGCCCGCCCGCCCGCCCGCCCCCCCCCCCCCCCCACCCACCCACACCCACCCACCCACCCACACCCACACACCCACCCCCCCCCCCCCCACCCCCCCCCCCCCCCCACCCACACACCCACACACGCACGCACGCACACGCACACACATGCACACACGTCCAGTCCCTCTTTTCTTACCACGTCTTGTATCTGCCCTGAGCTTCCATTATGTCCCAAAGAATACCCTGGACACAAGAGGCAGACAAACGGAGCACACCAAACACCCACAGCCATCAGCGGATGAGATCTGAGACCACATGCAGGCGAAGACGAGTGGTATTCACCCGAGCTCTCCATTCACGCCAGCGACTGACTTGTGTACATCTGGATGTGGAGCTGTAATTTTTGTACTTTCACACATTTTTGCTCGATTTGGGGCATGATCGATTGGGCGAATCCCGAGCAAGTGCGCTCCGAGTGAGCGTGATCGTTTGGCCGAATCCGGAGTAGGTGTACTTGGAGTGGAATCCGACCACACTGGCCCCCACACCCGGAGTGGCTGGAGTGGAAATGGACTTTGGCGTTTTCGACAGCTTTCACAGAATCTTGGTACGATATGCGCACATTTTGCATACTACACCCTTGCTTTGTTCGATTGGGCCAGCGTTGCTCGGACTACACCGCCTGCTCGTACTAAATCCCGATTCGCCAATCGATGGCACTCTTGGTTGTTGTAAGTCGGAGAGAGAAGAGATGGTAATTTTGCATCGTTCACAGGCTAAAGTGTTCCTCTGCGCCTTGCTGAAAGTTCAAAATCATACATCCAACAGGCAGGAGGCTCCTTGGAGAATCCTCGCCACCTGCTTTATTCTGCCTCCTGCTAGCTCTGTTCTTTCCTGTGCTACCGGTGCGGCTCCAGACACCTACATGGAGACGTCTTGCTAGCAGCTTACCACCGGCAAACTCCCCATCTGATGAAAACATGAATCGAGGCATTGCAGACGCCAGAGTCGACACAACTCCATTATTCACCCCAGTGTCAGGAGATATGTGAATTGTGTAGAAAAAAACCCAACTTGACGCGCAACACACGAACATAGGTTTCTGCATCGAGCAGGTAGCAAGAACTTGGCCTTCTCGGTTCTATTTATTTCTTACTTCACCAGATACACACTGGCATTTGCGCATTCTCGTCCAACTACATGGCTATACTCTTTTCAGTAAAGGATGAAGAGCCCGTACGGGGAACATTTCTCAGCAGGGAATACTTTGTTGGGGAAGATTTCGCAAACGGGATCGATGGGAACGTCACGCGAGTCATGAAACTAAGAAAACTTGTCTGAGTGTGTAACTTTACACAACGTGTGAGTCCGCACTAATAGACACCCTTAGCAAACAACGGTAACGCTATTTTTTTACGGTACTCGTACCTTGATCACCCAAATAGCGTTGAAGCTGCAGCGTAAAAACGTTACGGGGGCTGATTTATCGTTGCGATCAACGGTACGTTTTTCGGCCAAATATTGCATAGTCCGTACGCATTTCACCTTGTATCGCGTATATGGTGACATAAATAGTTGTACCGCGCGAAGTAAAAGCTATTCTCGTGGCAACAGCGTACTAAAAATAGCGTGCATCTTGCTAAAGGTCGAGTCCAAATCACGATATTTTCCCCCTTACGGTAATACCGTTACAACATAACGTTGTTTGCCAAGGGTGTCTAATGGTTCCACTTCCCTTTTTCTTTTTTTCCTACAAAATCCACATATCTCTAGACACTGGGGTGAATAATGGAGTGTGGTGGTGGGGCCCATTAAGCTCCGCCGACCAGAGGTCTCGGCTTCATAGCTCCACTTCCCAACATGCATAGGTAATATACGAAAGCCGTTAAGCTGCGACCGCATCCCTACAGGAGCCAACATTGTGAGTGCCGTGCACAATGGATGCATAAGGTGACAGTGACATTGCGGTCGAAGTCCAATGCAGTGAATTAAGTTAACACGTGAATATTATGAACCAGCTACGAAACATTGATTGCGTGACAACCTGCATCTCCTTTACATGTTGTGGCGAGTGCTGTTATGACTAGTTTTGAGTGTTGTGTATAGTGTTGTCGCCATATTGTCTCTCTCCAAATGGTCTCTCTCCATACTGTCTCTGTCCATATTGTCTCTCTACATACTGTCTCTTGCTCATCTGTATTATATGCGCATGCTCGTTGTAAAATAAATCAGTCCTTGTCTTGTCGCGCAATGGACTCCTGTGTGGCTTGCAAGACGAACATACCACTGAATGTATGAGGTGACGGGATATGGGCAATGGCACATGACGGCAGGGCGCGCGCATTATTCACTATAACCGTTTGGCTCACTGTAAAGATTCTCGCGCAACTGGTCAGCTGAAACCTCTGAGCGTTTGTTGCCTAGCAGAAATCAGAGTACGGTACTGTCGGGCGCTGATATATATACGGTGACTCAACTGTGCATAGACTGTAACACATGAAAACAAGAGTACATACCCCCCCCCCCCCCCCCCCCCCCCCAGAGTGTGCAACGCCTGATCCAGCTCTGCATAGGGTCTTGGGCGAGCGTAGTCGAATCTTCTGATGTCATGCGTACACCTCACACCAGCGCAAGGCCGGTCTCGAGGCAGGGCACCATTGTTTTTGATCTGAGAGTACCCGCGACTTCCCGGGTTCCCCTCAGGTGTGTACGGTATTGTGACGCAAAGGTTCGATTACGCTTGACCAAGACCCTATGTACAGCTGGATCAGGCGTTGCACACTCTGGGGGGGGGGGGGGGGGTTATGTACTCTTGATGAAAATAGGAGCAGTTTAGGCTTGGAGACTGCCCCCCCCCCCCCCCCCCCCCGTTCATCGGCGACCGACAGTACTGTACACTGGCTATGCTCTTACTTGGCCGATACTCTCCTTGTTGTGTCGGGGAAAGTAGCGGAAGCGATATTGCGAGCAGTTCACCACGTCCTTGCCAGCACGCTCAAAGTGGCTCATCAGCTCTTCCTTGGCCGCTTCTTTCTCCACCTGGATCTTCTCTTCCACTATCACCTACACAATTTGGAAGACAAAAACATCGAAAGCACATCGTGCGATCAACAAGCGGGTCTCCACCTTTCTATTATTATTATTATTAAAAGCATGTCCGCGTAGGTGGCGGGGGTGCCACTTTCGCTTATGCCATTCAGGATTGATGTCTGAAGAGTAATACGACACAATAAAATGACAGAAGTGACGTCAACAAAAGCCGTTAGCAACAACACCAATATAACTAATGGAAAACTTCATCCAAAGTATAAAATAAAATAGAATATGCATACAACATGTCTGGTCAGTCCTGTTAGGTGGGGCGGGCTCCACGCCATGCCTGTCGGTCCGCTGCCATTGTGCGGACTGCGTCAACATCTAGCGGCTGGTGGAGGGTAAGTCCATGCCATGATAACAGTTCCGTCTGCAAGACCGTTACCAAAGTCGTCCGAGGTCGACCCCTGAAGCGTTCAGTGCCCTCGTCGTTGGCCAGGCGAAGATACATATCCACTGCCAACTGTGGAGGAGCAGTTGGGGCCAAACGAAAGATATGGCCAGCGAGACTGTAGCGCTGCCTTGTGATCATCTCGCTGATGGGGACAGCTCCGCAGCGCTTATACAGAGTGTCATTGCTAATTCGCTTAGGGTACCGCATGTCGATGATGCTCCTTAGCTGGGTCCTGTGGAACGAATCCATTCGCGCGAGCTCCGACATCGGTAGGCCCCAAGTGCCGCAGTTGTAGGTAAGGACTGGGATGACGTAGGCGCTGTAGAGCCTCAGCCGAAGACCTTCACTGATCTGGCGCCTCCGGGTCCAGATCTTGAGGAGTGAGTTGAAGGCGGCGGCGGCCAGTTGACGCCTCCGAGCAGCATCTTCGGCGTCACCCAGGAGGGAGCCTAGTTTGCGGACAGTACGCCACGTTTCTTGGTTCCTATCGGGAAATCGGGCGACGGTGGTATGCTCTGTCTTGGAGGGATTAACGTTCAGGTTCCATCTCGCAAGAACTGCTGGAGCTTGTTGTTCAACTTCACTGAGAAACGTCTCATCCCGGCTCACAAAATCAACATCGTCCGCGTATGCGATATCCAACGGCAGGTCATTGTCCACAGCAGGGCGAGATGGCAGCTCCTGTCGTAGGTCCCGGAGAGCAGCCTCCAGGTAAATGGTGAAAAGCACTGGAGAGAGACTGTCCCCTTGAGGGACTCCGATATTTGTCTTGAAGGAGCTTTTCGATGCACCTTTCACACGAGGTTCAAGCCAGGTTTCAGTCAACAGTATACGGATCATTCGGAGCTCACTTTCTTGGAGGAAGGATTCAAGGATCCTCATCAGGACATCGCGGCGGACAGTGTCGAATGCTTTACTCATGTCAATTCCCAATATGTGGATGGACGTATTGAATCGCTGCGTCATACTACATAGCCATCTATGGCACCACACCACATCACTTGTGCTGCGGCCACGACGAAAAGCACTTTGGGATGTAGCCAGGTACTGATCAACCGCTGGCTGTATCCTCTTCAGCACAATCAGGGACAGCGTCTTTCTCAACGCCGAGAGCAGTACGATAGGGCGCGTACTAGTAAGCGGCCCTAGTGGTTTACCGGGCTTCTGCAGCAGTATTAGGGTTCCTCTGCCAACTTCGAGTGGGTCATGTGTCTCAATAGATCGGTTCAATATGTCGGAAGTCATCTCAGCGACAATGGGAGGACTGTACTTGAGTAACTCTCCGGAGAGATGGTCAG